CCCCCCACCCCCTCTAAAAAAAACACAATTTAAAAAACATGTCAGGAAGAGTATCACTGATTCATAAAACAAGGATCGCGGAAGTAATTTAGCGCTAATTAGCCTGGCATGGGGCAATGTTTTATCGGGTCCTTATTGTTGTGGAGGGTAACCTTATCTAGAAGCCTCGCTCTAGAGTGCTTTCATAAGGGTTCTAGTTGCTTTATTTTTCATACTTCATATTTTTATGGACATATCTTTCTTTCTTTTCCACTAATACGGGGAATTAATCCTTGTGTGATTTGTAATTAATCAAATGTACAATAACAAAGAAATGTCCTGCATATTCACGTGAACTAATAAGATAATTTATTATTCTAAAAGACAACAGAACACAAACAGAAACAAAAGTGGATTTTAAAAAAGAACTTATACATCTAAATGAGCATTTATAAATGAACAGAAGGTCAACAGCAAACGAAGTACAAGGCTGATTAACAAGATCTTGAAAATGTAATACAGAAATACTAGTTTAGTATTCAAGAAGAGTATTATGGTGCTTATTATTAATAAGTTCATATAAGTGCCAACGATTAGAAATGTTACAAGAGAGCAATAGACACCAAAATAAAAAAGGAGGTGAGATAAGGACGATAGATGTTTGATAGAAAAGAAGGAGCAAGCCACACAGAGAGCACCCGCTAACCACCTGCAGAAATGAGAGTGAATGTATCAAACTAAGACTTGTTCAACATGAGTGTGAGTAGCGAAAATATAACATCCTCATCATCGCTTTACTATCAAATACACTGAAATAAAGTCATTCTTATTACCTTTCCCAAGCATGAGCAAGAAATTATTTGATCTTAAAGTTTACATGTTCTTTTAAAGATTACAAAATTCTCATAATTCTAACAACACTGTTCACGCTGACATTAATCATGCTTACTTTCTTTTTGAACTTGTCCTAATCACAACCTTAGGAGAACACTTCACTATACAACATTTAGTTCACCTTTTCATCGAAGTAAGTAAAACCCATACTAAAACATACAAAAAAACACAAGAAAACCCAAACAGTACAAACAAAACAAATAAACAAAAACAAACACAATTTTAAAAAAGCCATAACCGAAGTGATATACGACCTAACACGATTGTCACACAACATGAGGTTTCCAACGAGACGTTCCAAAAAACTGCACTGGGCGGAACCGTTTTACACCTGTGATCCCTCGCTGCTGTGAAAAAAGAGTGCACCTTTTCTCTGTGTGCCAGTGCTACAAGAACTAATAATATCCCCACACGTATTTAAATTAGGCCTAACACGAGGCAGCAAACAGCATCTTCCAAGCAGCCATGGGGCTGGGACAAGGTGGGTGTGGTTTCCCCCTGGTTATGTAATCCTGTCGATGTTCAGAAAGGATGGAAAAGCTGGTATGTTGATGCGAGGGACATGCATTTTCATTCGCCCCGTTGCCATGACTATAAATCCTTGTCATGATAACCCTTAAAGTTTGATAGATGGGGTCTGGTGTAGTTGGGGGAAGAGGGACAGACAGAGAGAGAGAGAGAGAGAGAGAGATAGAGAGAAGTTTG